GTAGTCATTCGTTTGTATCGTACGACGGCCATTGAACTGTCAACCCTCACCACTACAGGTGGAAATCAACATTTTTCGCCTGTTTAATCTAATCGTGACACTACATAGATCAACGTTGGATAAAAAATCTTGCTGAAGTGGTACTTAGTATATTCCATGCGTTTAAATAGACTCCGATTCGTACAACAATTGCCCAACTAACGATGGTTGTCGTGACGAAGACTATGCTGAACTGTATGTTTTACATGCAGCCGCAAGATCCCTTGCCGTTCAAGGAGCGCCACTAGAGGTCAATGAATCAGGAAAAGGCCACCTGTAGTTTGATCCATGAGGTAAAGTGAATTAATTTAATTTGTCTCAGGAACAGAGATCACTTGAGTCGGTGCACACAGTCCAGAAGACGACAAAAAGTAGGACTTTCCCAGATGGAGGCGAATCTGAACCTTCTGGTACTAATGTTACAGCCTGCAGCAATTTGGCGCAAACGCTTTTGCCTAAATAAGAGTAGGATCCTCATGTTACCGAACACATTCGTGTAAAACACTAGGTGCACACGCAGTATGCGCGGTAAATCTAGCGTGCACAGTAAGTCTTTCTTGGAGAAGATCGTAAAGGGTCCGATGAAGCGTGGGCGCAGCATTCTATTAAAGACAGCGGGCACTAAGTTAGTTGGTAGTATTTTGGCGCTGACTAAGACTTGGTCTCCGACCTCATTTTTTTGATATACATTATTTTCTTTTAGCCATGGCTGTTCATATATAGTTCTTCGCTTTCGGCCATTTGGAACGCACACATTCTTAAAATTTAAAGCGCACTTTAAGGATAACGTCCACTTGCTTCTAACTTGAATTTGCGATGGCCTCAGCTAATTGATAAGTCAAAAATCTTTCAACGAGTTCACAATTGCGATGTGGAAAATTTTAGTCTTCGGGCAGGTGCGTGATGCCACTGATGTAAAACGGCGTATATTCCGTGAAGGCGTATACACAGTTGCTAACATCAAATTAAACATCAAGGAATCTAAAGCCGAGGCGTATCCACACATATGATACGCTATAAACTTCAATATATTTATAAATGCACTCTGTTTGACCATCGTTCTGCGGATGATCTGACGTAGGCATGTCATAAAAAATGTGTAAGTACTTGTAATATGGTCTATCAGAGCTTACCTACGAGTAAAGAGTTGTGGTCAGATGCGAATTACACCAGTTAGCCAAATCAAAATAATCACCTCATCGATAAACAGTTGCTCTGTTCTTTCACCATCAATTTAACCTTGTACAGATGCTAAGTAATAAATATCTCTCAAATCATAACGAAGACCAGAATATTGTTGTTGACAGCCAAATTTTCAATGTCAAAAAAAAATCTTTTTTGTCGATAGTATTCAACAAGTACAGAGAGACTCGCCTGTGGCGCAGCTAGAAGTAAGAAATTTCTGACTTTTGGCACTTTATGTACATGCGCACATAGGTAATCAGATGCTTATACTTTTAGGAGCACCAAAAACGCTGACTCACCAAGCGCTATGTCTTTTTACGACCAACACGACAACTCATCGCGTTATTATTTACCTTATAGAAGATGCAGATATTTAATCTTTTATCTTGTGGAACAACAGTACGAGTATTGTCCTCAGTATCGGTGCGATCGCACAAAATACTCGGACTGATTTATGAAGGAACGCACGTAGTTGTGTCGGCATTTTTGATCTATAGTTTTCGAAGCTTTAAATCAAGATTACATAGGCTTTATGTACTGCAATAATAACGGGCGTAAGCGGCACGAATAAGGCCGGAAGCGGTAATAAAAACGAACACACGACCAAGCTCTTTGTCAGGTCCGCGTGATAACGCAACGGATAAAGAGTTTCGTTTACCAGCTTGTGTTACAACTTAAAGTTTAATTTTGCGAGCAATATCGACCACCAAGTCGTTATCTGTGCTAGGTGAGGTGACTGCGTAGCAACGATTAATTTAGCATGGTCAACAAAGATCACAAACGGCTTGGAGATAAGCGGATGTAAACGGAAATTATCTAAAGCATAAATAAAGACTTTTAGTTTTTCATGAAATGACAGTTCCTTTCCAGATGTTTTAAGATGTTGAGACTCAACAGAAACGACACGCAACGTCCTACTACATAGAATTGAACCAAAGCGATATCAATAAAGACTCGAAAACGCAAATGACGAAAGTAAAATGCTTCGACAGGTCGGTCAGGGCGAAAAGTCGTAGCCCTAAAGATGACTTTCTTGTACAACTGTCAAAGTCTCATTGCTAAAGCTACCGCAGCACCATTCTTAATAACTATAATGATATTAGACAATGACCTGCTATGGCAAATCAATTCAAGCTATACTTTTGCTGGTAGTTTGCAAGGTTAAGCGAAATAAAAGTCCTTTAAAATTTCAGCCATCTTCCAATCAAAAATGGCTTTAAAATTTACGGAGTCAGCCCTTAAATCACGCACATCTGTAAACCACACCAAAAATGGTGTGATTTAATAATCAAACATACATTATGAGGCATTATCTTATAGCTCATCACTGCGCAAATGTTGATCAAAGCTTAAGAGTTGTCGATGTATGTTCCACATCAGTCTTTCTGTGATCTGTTTGACTATGGATATAGATGTCTTGTAACGATTTTGTGTTCAATCTCGGCGACGATGTTTTATTAATTCACAAAGACGATTAAGCGTTGACAAAGACGCAGATACCACATGAGACGTGACTACCCACTATTAAACTAACTATTGGATGGTTAAAACATTCTAAGCTGTAGATTGCTCACTAGCATGTTTAATTCTTGATTAATTTCGACCAGATCAATTGCATTATTTACATCCTAGCACCATAACATTTTCTTAAGCAAACGATTTCGAGAATTCGGTATTTGCGCTGCAATTAAAGCGGCATATGGTTGATTGTACGCATTTAAAAAACGCCACTAATCATTATAGTTTTCTTACACAGAATGTAGGCAAAAAGTAATGGGAATTAAATTTGCTATCTATGCCCGCAACATGCATTTCAAGATCGGAATCATCAATACGATAACTTTGATTTTTAGTCAACGGTCACTGCCGTTAAATGAAATCTTTGGGTTCGGGAACCGGTGTACATTGGTTGACGGTTAATTTAATTTTTGTTATCTTCTTTACGATATATCATAAATAGACATATTCCTGCACCTTTAAAGCAGATACTACCTCTGCCCTGATCACTCATTTTGGAATGATCGAGGTCCGTCTACTGTGGTCTTGATTGAAAAATTTTTATTTCTTTTACATATAAAGTTCCTATGCTAGACCAAATAAGTGTATAATTCTTGCGCAATTAGGAGTAATAATATATATCTGAGATCGAAACATAGGATAGGCGATACCAATGTGTGTGAGCTACTCCGAACAAATCGAAAGTTGAGAATACCTTAAGCACATTGAGTTTCACAATAATCTTGATCCTCGCATCTACACAATAAATTTTAGGCAAGAAAGTCATGTGCAGCTTCGAAAGATTGACACGGACACGATTCAAGTTATAAGTCAAGAAAAAAAGAAACGGAAAATGGAGACAGGAATGAAGGCAAGGAAAAAAGGCATTAAATCACATCTTCAGCGCAGCAGAGGCACGAAATGGATCGCAAAAGAAAAAAAAGTGGGAGGCCGTAGAGTGATGTTGTAGTGGAGCTCAAAACTCCTTAAAAGTCAGAGTAAGGCTTAGTGCTAAACGAGGAATATAAGTTCCAAAGTACTGGACTCTATAAGTCAACACGCGTATAGCTTAATATTCCTACTCCAGGGAGCCAAAATAGTTAGTGAACTTGCGGCACTTAGTGATCAGATTAGCAACCTCAGGGAGGTGTTGCTAGCTTATAACGATCTACGATCAGATGCATCTCGCAAGGCACGTGTCTTGAATAAGATCAAAAGGGTTACTAAATTTTATCAACGTTTAACTCTATAAAATATCATAATCCTATTTTACGTAATCTTCGCACATGTCCTTAACTAATATCTAAAAGAGCACCTCCACCAGTCATCCTAAAACGCGTTCTATCCTTAATTTAACCCAAAATTGCTTAAAAGTGTCTCCAGCAGTCGCGCTATAACCCATGCTAAAATTTGGGTAGACGCAAAAATGCCAAATATTTGGACAGATTTAGCAAGCGTCCGTCTGAAAGCAAGCGTCCGTCTGAAAGCAAGCGTCCGTCTGAATGCCATTTTCATTCCTATCCTGCCGCTCTCTACTGAACCTGTCAAGGTTTACTAGACCTCCATGAATTCCGCCGGCAGTATGTCCCAAGCGGCCTCTCGCTCTGTGTCTCCCTCTTTTGCAAGTCCTTCCTCCACTCCCGATCCCAAACCAGTAAAGAGAGTGCCTTGGCGCAAGGATTATACTGCTGCCGGAGACGAGCGGATTTGTCGTTCATGGTTGAATGTAAACCAGGACCCCATCGATGGCTTCGAATAGAAGAGCAAGGTCTTCTAAGAACGTGTTCGTCAGCTGTAACGGGGTGAATCGTTACATAACAATTTATAAGAAATTGTTAATAGAATATAACTATAAGAGTTATATTCTCAGAATATTGTCATAAGGACAATATTCTGTAGCACTTCCAAGTAGTTCCTAATTGGTTGATATAGGCCATTATATCAACCAACGAAGACGCGCCACGACAGACGCACGCAATGAGTGGTGAGCAGATAACTGATTTACACATTTGTATTTAGACATAGTTAGATGAAGATAAATAGTGGTTTATTGCAGACATGAACTATTATAAATACAGTTCTACTTTTTACTCTAACCAAGTACTCGCTTCTTCTTACCGTCTTCCTCTGCACGTACGAGTGTACGTGAAGTTACGAGGCACCGCCTTATTCTGTCATCAGAATAAGTAGCTTGTACTGTCACCAGTACAAGCTTCAGGGTGCCCCGTTACACCTGGTAGCACTTCGTAGTCCGTCCAAGGACCGCGTTCATATCCAACATGAATATGTTGGATGATGAAGATGACCAAAGCTTTCACGCTACGCGTGACGGCTACTCCCATTTGAGCGATGTCGAATGGGATGCGGTTGAACGAATGGGTTCGACCATGGGCATCCATGCTGTTAGCGTCATGCTAGAGGCTCTCAATAGAGATGCCCAACATGCTACTATCGCCAAGTTCATTCGAAATGAACTTGACGCAGAACGCGAGAAAGTAGCCTTGCTTCACCAACAAGGTTCTCAACAAGCAGAGTTGTTGAGAGAACAAGGTGCTCAACAGTTTGAACTGTTGAGACAGCAGCAGGCTGCTGCTGGCGGGTCGATGCACTCGCGTCGGCCCGAGACTTTGAAGATTGACATCTCAAAGTATAGGGGGTCGAAGAAGACTCCCTCTTGAGATGGTTCGTCGAATTGGATGACGCCATAAGGGCGCGTCGCATCGACGACGGGGATATGCAAGTTGCATTTGCCCAGTCAAATCTGGCAGGACGTGCCAAGACTTGGGCACTGGGGCTCAAGCTGCACGACCCATATGCGTTTGGGTCGTTGGAAGTCTTCAAGTCGCGGCTCAGACAAACGTTTGAACCGCCTAGAGCTGAGTTCAGAGCTCGAACTGAACTCTTGAAGCTCAAGCAGGGTAAGCGTGATGTGCACGCTTACGCTCAACATATACGACATCTCACGAGTTGTATAAGTTCCAATCCGGTGGATGAACACACGTTGGTTTCGGTGTTCATGCAGGGTCTTGCGGATGGTCCCGTCAAGACTCACCTGTTCCGGCTTGAACTAGATTCACTAGAACAAGCCATTTCAATTGCGGAGCAGGAAGACTTCAGTCTGAGACAGGCTCGCGCCAGCTCGACATCATATCGTCAACCGAGACGATATGACAACGGAGGTCCAGAGCCGATGGAACTCTGTTATGTAGAGAGCGAGAAGGCTCGCTCTACAGGCTACAAGAAGTTGCAGAGATGCAACAGATGTCAAAAGACAGGACACTACGCTTACGAGTGTAGTGCCCCTCGTCCAGTGTCTCGCGACACTGGGCGTAGTGACCGTCCACCCATGAGAAAGGGGCAGGGACGAGGGTCCGCAGTTGGTGCAAAGACGCAACAACGGGATGGACCGTCAAAAAACGGACAGGATCAGTAGGTGCGGAGCACCCTACTGGTCCAGCAACGTCAAGAGAATTTGTAGGCCTCTTGATGAAGGTTGCTCCCAACGCACAAACGTTGTGCGTTGCTGCTCTAGGTAATGAGATCTCACTCATTACCTTGAAACTCGAAGTGACGAATAAGTTGTCCCTTCGAGCTCTAGTCGATTGTGGGGCGTCCAACAATTTTGTGCGACGCCAATCGCTAGAAGGTGGTCACTTCAAATTCAGTTAATGTGACACACCTCCTACGAGGATGACGGTACGTCTTGCGACAGGCGCATCCGTAACCGTCATGAAGCGTATAGTGAAGATCCACTATACGCTAGAAGATACCCAATACGACGATGACTTTATCGTATTGGATTTGGATAACAAATTTGATGTTATCCTTGGAATACCGTGGCTCAGAAGGTACGAACCACGGGTAAACTGGCAACACCGGACAGTAACGATGCCTGCCGCTTGTTCATCAGATGGCCATCTGATGAACGTTTTGGAGCGTCCACAAGCGTGTGGATGTACTACGAGTGAGTGCGATGGCCTCACTTGTGGTACGGTCGTTAGTACGACTGCACAAAACCTTAGTGTACCAAACGGTTACACTTCGGAGCAAAGTTCCGGCGGCTGTGAGGAAACACAGGCTGCGCCGAAGGTCCACCACTCGAATGAGTCGGGTGGACTGGGACAAAGATGTATCCCTAGAGGGGAACATCTAGAAGAGAAACAATCGATCGCTCAGGTTAAGCGAAACGATAATCCTAGATCGACTGGAGAGTCTTTCGTAGAGGATCTCGCTGTGGTTGCGCAACCCCAGCTAGAGGAAGTAAAGGGAATAAGTCCCAAGATTACAAATACGGCGGAAATAAGTTCCCCGAAACCCGCGGGAATAAGTCCCCGGGAAGACGAAGGAATAAGTCCTTCGAAGCCTGAGGGAATAAGTCCCCAGGAAATGACAGAGACATTGAATGTCATAGTCAATAACGGATCATGTGTAGGCGCTTATACACTTGATCTGATTGCGCCTCCGAAGTTAACTTCGGAGATCACTCAGTTGCCAACGCTCGAACATAAAAGATTCTTGCGTGATCTGCGTAGTGGCAAAGTCAAGCAGATCTGCATACTCGTCGCTGAAGACGAGTATGTAGCCGACATAAGGTCAGCCACGATGTTTACTGAGAACGAGAGAGTTTTCAGTAGTTCATCGATGGACGAGAGTGTCCTCGATAAAAAGACACGAGTTGAGCGAAATGACTCTCAATCGTGGGAGTCTTTGAAGACAAATCCTCTCTATGAAGATTTGGTTGAATTCGAGGATGTATTCCATGAAACTGTTCTGTGCGAATTACCGAAGGATAAAGGTATTCGACACGAGGTCGAGCTTAAACCAGGCTCGAAGTACTGTGTCATGAAGCAGTGGCCATTGCCTCGTAAACAAGTACTTGCGATCGACAAGGCCTTTTCCGATCGTTTAGCTGCGGGCCATGTGAGGGAATCAACTTCTCCACATAGCTCTCCAACCTTCTGTGTGCGAAAAGCAACAGGAGGGTGGCGGATTATGCATGCATTCAACAAGTTGAATGCTGCAACGGTACCGGCTCTGACGCCGATATGAAGGAAAGAAGTAATTACTGATGGTAAGTCAAAGAGTACCATCTTTTCGTCCATGGGTTCGATGGATGGATTCTATCATATCTTAATGCGAGGACGGGATATACCCTATACCGCAGTGAGCACGCCTAGCGGCATGCTCTGGGAATGGCTAGTAATGACACAAGGGCTTAGTAATGCCCCTGCCACGTTCAACAGATGTGTATCACATCTGTTGAGACCAGTAAGAGAATTAGCGCCGAGTTATTTCGATGACGTATTCATCCATAGTCGGACTATGGATGGAAAGTCGGATGTTGAGGTTCACAGGTACCACGTCCGACAGGTTCTTTTAATCATGCGAAAGCATCAATTGTATGCAAATCTCAAGAAGTGTATATTTGCAGCAAGCGAAATACCACTTCTTGGGTGCATCGTTGGTAAGAACGATGTACGTCCTGATCCTGAAAAGATCAAGGCGATCACCGACTGGCCTGTGCCGGTTGATGTCAAAGGTCTTCGAAATGCTTTGAGCTAGCGGCGTATTTGCATAAGTATTCAAGCAATTACGCCGAGATGACTGTGCACCTCTCTCGTTTGTTGAAAAAGAACGAGAGGTGGTTATGGAACGCTGAATGTCAACGCTCCTTTGATAGTATCAAGCAGAGCTTGATACAATCCTCAGTCCTAGCAATAGCCGATCAGGACAGGACATTTCATGTGGTCTGTGGTGCCAGCGATTTTGCAATCGGCTGTGCATTAATGCAGTACGATCTTGAAGGCGTTGAACGCGTCGTCTGCTATCAGTCGCGTCAGCTGCAACCAGCTGAGCGGAACTATCCAGTGCATGACAAGGAACTCCTTGCCATGAAGTATGCACTCGCGAAGTTCAGAGTCTATCTATTAGGAGATAGACCCTTCATTGTTTACACTGACCATGCGTCGTTACGCACGGCAGTTAACAGCCCGCACCTTTCACAAAGAATGGCGCGGTGGTTTTCATTCTTTGAAGAATACAACTTTACGGTAGAGCATTAACTAGGACGACTTAATGTCGTCGCTGATGCACTCTCACGTCGGCCCGACTTTGAACCAGTCGTGAAACCCAACAGTGAGACAGCCACTGTTGCGTTTTTGACGTCCACAATACCATCTTCAACGTTACAGGATGATGTAAGGTGGGCGTATGCCCAAGATGGTGAGATTGTGAAGTTGTTGACACATCTCTCACAGCCATCTCGAGAATCGTTGAAACGATTGTCGTCTTCGTATCGATCTGCATCAGATAGATACACAACTCGCGACGATTTACTGTATTATACAGCCGTTACTGGTGACACACCACGTGTTGTCATTCCAGATGATGTGGATCTGCGTTTGCGGATTACGTTCGAGTATCACGATGCTCCTACGTCTTGCGCCATCCGCGTGTACCCACCTTACTAGAGTGTAACTCTGGTTTAAGGGGGGGAGGGACTCGCGCGAGCAAAAACCGATTTGGTTCACGCTCATCACGCTCTGACGAAGAAGTCATTGCGTTTGATGCCGATATCGATAACATCGATATCGAAGAAGATGATGCCAGTGAGAGTGCGGAAGCCCTCACTGAAGACAATGATCCCAGTGAGAGTGTGGAAGCCCTCACTGAAGAAAAGGTTGTTGTCGCTGCAGTGCGCTCACAGCACACTGAAGCTAACGAGTCATCAGATGAGTTCATACTGGCTCGTGAAACGGTAGTCCGTTTTGTGCAAGACTCCATCGCCGAAGCGGTGGATAAGCAAAAGCAAAATGCTGATAAGAATGGAAGGGCAAACACTCTTTTATTTAATAAAGGTGACTTAGTCCTACTGTCTACGGTTAATCTACCAAAACATGTAGTGACTAACTTGGGTAGCAGTAAACTTCTACCCAAGTACATCGGCCCATTTCGTGTATTGCATCGCCTAGGCAACGCATACACGATCGAACTGCCACGTAAGATGCGAAAGCATCCCACGTTTTACGTTGGTCGGCTTAAGCCGTACCATCAGTACGCTGTTTCTTCCAATGAAGAACGCCCTTGCGCTCAAGCATCTCGCAGAGAGCCTTGTGTTCCCGATGGTGGGCATCAACAAGGGTATGAAGTGCAGTTATCTCAGCCCGAGACCGATCAACAATCCCACGAGCTACCCTTAGCTCGTCACGCAGAGACGTCAGAGCTCTCTCGCTCTCAAGCTGAGCAAAGGCAAACTCAGCTCGATGCTTCGAGACAGCGTCCACCAGTTGGAGACGTCTGTCCCGCTCATGTTCGAGATCGCCGCGTAACGCTTGCGTTACGAGATCAAAGAGGCTCTTGTGGACACACGCTTCCCCACGATAGCTTGGAGAGCGTTTTCCCTCCTCCTCCACCTCCATTAGAGGACTCTCGCGGTGGCCAGCGCTATCTGGTTGAGCAGCTGGTGAACCACCGCGAAGTGAACGGACGTCGGACGAGTTATCTCGTCCGGTGGCGCGGCTATCCCCCGTCCTGGGATACTTGGGAGCCCCGCTCCCAACTGATGGTTGACGTTCTGAGTCTGGTCGAGCAGTACGACGCGGCACATCCTGTGCCGCAGAAGGACTGCTGGAGATAGTATTCCCGGCACGGTCATAAAGGGATTTCAGGTTGTCAATCCCTTCGTACATCTCAGTAGAGATACGTACGCGCCACCACGGGCTATTAGGGAGGTAAGCCTCCTTAGGTGCTCGTGCAGAGTTGTTCACACAACAAGGGCACGAAACTCCCCAGGAATGACAGGGTAACCCACCGTCCTTTGACATACGATGCAGCTTATAGCGTGCACCTGTCGGGGTCAAGCTTATCACGAGCTTTCATAAGTTTGTCGTTCCAAACGTCACGACCTACATCCTCAAGGTTATGGATGTAAGCGTTCTATGATTGAAGCAGTGAGGGACCATCACGTTTGTGATTCCCACTGTACCATCGATGTCTAAAGAAATCATCGATGAAGAATTCATGCTCAGTGCGATAATCTTTTGCAAAGGGGTCACGGTGATGGATCCTTGACGAATCGAATTTTCGTGTTCGATAGCAATCACTCGTCGTCGCCGACAAGCGATCCATGACGGATTTTGGAGGCATCCATGCCTTTGTCTCGGGAGCAAGACGCAACACGCTGCGATCCCGCTCTTACTGAGTAGTGCCGACAGAAGTACTGGCACCTCGCTGCAAAGTCGTGGAAATGGGAGAACCGACACCACTGTGAGCGCCCGAGTCTTGCGACCCCGAACGCCTTCGCTTTGGCGATGGTTCATCTGTTTCGTCAGATGAACCAAAGATGCTACGACGCATAGCATCATCCATGCCACGCTTTGCAGGAGGCTTGGTTTCGATCGCCGTCGATACAGATCCATCTTCCGTATCGGGAGA